ATTAGTGGGGTAGGTAGGGGCTGTGGCTCCCAGTCAGCCTGAGCTCAAATTACTTTCTCGGATGCCAGGTGCAGAGGAGGAAGTGCCTAGGTGTAAGAAAGCCGGCACTCTGGTCTCTTGTGGCACTCCTATAGAGTGTCCCTTATGGATGCTCAAATTCCTGGGGCTTGCTGGTTCACCCCACTGTTCCCAATTAGCCACTGTGCCTGGGCTCATGGAGGGTGGAGAGGCGTTCAATATACTTTGTGTCCTGCTATTCACAGAAGGCACATAGTTGGGGGAGGGGAAATCTCCCTTGCCTTTTCACTCTGCTCTGAGCCTCTCTGAGTTTGATCTGCACCACTGTCTTCTCCTCTTCACCCTCTTCTTTGTGAGCTTCGTAGCTTTTGTCCGTGGGGTCCCAGTCATCTTTGTCAACTCTCTCTGTGATCCACACCTGTGCTGCAACTCTTCTCTACTCTCCTCAGTCCAATATCCTACCTTCCAGCTGTGATGGTCCGACAAGCAGTGTCTCTAGTTGGCCATCTTGACTCACTCCTCCAGATATTCTTTTTGATAACCAAGGACTTGATCAATAGCCAGAGGAGTTATCCTTTCTTTAATTTTGGCTTTCTCCAAATTATATCCTCAGGCAGTTCATCTCATGACCTCTAATCTGACACCCACCGCTGCTACTCCTAGTTAATCTGTCTTGTTTTCTTATACAACACGTCTACAACTAGCCTTTAATCTTTTGCCCTTAAATAACTCTCTCCTGGTCTTCTTTCATGATTTATACTAACAATACTGTTATTTCCTCCACTGACCAGGCTTAAAGCCTTAAAATTATGTTCAACTCTTTCCTTTTCCATTATCTCTACATCTAATCATTTACCATTTCTAGTAATTCTTCCTTTATCATATCAATTGTATTCTTTCCTTCCCTCCTTATTCCCATTTCCTGCCACCACTTTAAACCCTTAGAACATTTCCTCTTAATTTTGCCATTGGTGTCCCAACAGGCACCCCGACCTTTGGTCATGTTCTCTCATCCTTATACCTTTCACAGTACAGATAAATTAATCTCTCTTAAAACATTTTCATAGTACACATTGTACTCTGCCCATGATGAGAAACCTTCAATAGCATTACTTATATTAACAATGATGAAATCTACATTCCTCTGTCTGGGTTTTAAGGCCTCTTAAAACCCTCACAATCTAGCTTCAAACTAATTCCCTGTTACCAAATATACCAAATGTCCCAAATGAAGTACGTATTGCACTTGTGATTCTCCTAAGCACAACTCAATGCCATGTCTCCCTTTGATGAAATGCTGTTTTCTACTTTTTCCCTGTGGCAAAGTTACTCATCATTCAAGTCTCAGCTCAAAGGCCCCTTTCCTGAATTCTCAAACAATATCCTATTACCTAGTTTGCAGGTTAATCAAAAAAGTCAATTAAAATGGAGAACTGTAAACAAATGATTTAATTAACAAATCCTCTAATATAACTTAAAACTTAAATTTACATTCATTTGTCAATCTTCTATGTAAGACCAAAAGCTTTCACTATGAAATTGGAACTCTAAGTAGTCTTTCTTATATTAGCCACAACCATCTTTCATATTAGTTTTAGTTTCCTTGAAGTTGAGCACACCACTTAAAAATCCTCACAAAGCAACTTGAGTGTAAGAATCCATCTAGTTTATCTGCCATTCCAAACTTTTGCATTTGCCTTGGCTAAACATACTTTCACAGAAGTTTTTAATGATTAGCCTCTTTGAATTTTACCCAATTTTCTGCTTAGTTTCAAAGAAACAACTCTCCTTCTTTCTATTTCATTGCTTTATATAATATGCATAATTTCTAGAACAAGTAGAACTGGCATAAACAAGTATGGGAATGAAATTAACTAACTTGGTAAGCATACAACACAACTACATAGAAGTATATCCATGTTTTAAAAGTACAGTCTTATCCTTGAACTGCCACGATACTGTCTGTTATAGAGAGAATGGAAAATACTACTAATAGTTAATCTTGCAAAGGGTTAAGTGTAAGTGCTAATCGATTGAGAATTGTTATTATAGCACCTTTGTTATATTGAAATGTAATCACTTGTGTGTATTTCTCTACTAGTCCTTAATTAAGTGTAGGGACTTTGTTAATAGAGTAGATTCTTAGTAAAAATCTAGTGAATGAATGGATGAGAGACGGATGGATGGCAATCACACCTATTTCTATACCTTTATGAGGTTTTCTCCTCTTAAAGAATAATTTATTTTTAAATTTTTGATTATTTGAATTATGTCCAATCTTCAAGGCTGAGTCATGATCCCATTACCTCTACAAACTCTTTCCTTATCATTTCAGTTAAAAAGGATATCTTATTTGACACATCTTGTGATGCCTGTGTCTTTAATTATTAAGTAGTTTCTATCTTCATCTCCCTTAATTGAGGACCAAGACCATAGACTCACAATGCCATGCCACATGGGTTATAATTCTAATGGATATTTAGTGATGTTCATTGGAAGTCTGAGAAGGTTACTGGGATGTGGAATTTGTGTCATGTGAGCCACATCTGAATGCAGTCATCCCTCAATATTCATGTGAGATTGGTTCCAGGACTCCCATGGATACCAAAATCTGCAGATGCTCAAGTCCCTTATATAAAGTGGTATAGTCTTTGCAAATAACCTATATACATTCTCTTTTATATTTTATATCATCTCTCGACTACTTACAATATAATATAAATGCTATGGAAATATCT